GAAGTAACTTATCACAGTCTTCTGGTTCACCATTTTCATGGATTGTCGTACTGTCATTATGCTGCAATAATGGCCTTGAAGACCAAAGAAGCAGATCATTGAAGTGTTGGAATTGAAACGATAAAGGTTTTCTTTTTGCCTGCACATATACAAAAATGAATTAATCCTGTCATTAGAGCTCATGAAGGTTGAAGGAAAAACAAGAAAAATGTGGGCATACAAGTTTAAAACATTTCCATAATAAATGACTAGGAACTAATAGGATAGAGATGCAATTATTACTTATTACTTATACCACGATATCGTTGTAATACGGTAACAGCATATTGGTTGAATTTCCTGTTCAATCCTAGTTAATCCTAAACCCGAATTTCCATTATACTCTTGTAACTTCTTATATTAATGCTACTCTTACCATCATCTTCAATCTTTTAGGGGTTACAATTCAATCTTTCAAAATTACTATGGAAAAATTAGAGATGAAATTAACCAAGAATCGGATGATAATTGCACAAACCTAAATGCACCATATAATTCAATTGAATAGATAAGAGAGAGGTTCTTTTCATTAAATTTACTATATCTGTAACTAGATAAGGTTCTTTTTGTCAAAAAATTTCTCTCTAAAACCTTAATCCCGATTCGACTTCTAGTCGGCTGCCGCCGACCACCTCACCCAAGTATCTCCATGATCTCATATGGACAAAGGTATCTCGTTATTGAGGATAAATCCTTCGATTTATGCTGCAAAGGGAAGAAGGCAGAAGGATTGCGAATCACTGAAAACGGGCGCGGGTTCCGAAGGTCAATCTTCTTAGACAAAGAGGAGCATGGGTGATTCCTCGATGGGCTCGATGATTTCTGGTGGATAAGCCAACCAGGCATCTAAGCAAAGCACTTAATGAAGAGGAACTACGAACTATGATTGTCGTATGGAACAAACAGGCAAGGGGAATATTTAACCTTAACTATCCAAGGAGACCGAAGAGTGAAAAGAATTTTCTTTTCGGGAGGAATGCAGGCAAGAGGGTAGTGGAAGCTGATGGTGGCAGCATTTGAACTGGCAGACAAACCGGTAAAAAATCCTAAGATTGCTGATTAAGGGGGAGGGAGAAAAATGGGGCATCCAAAGGAGAATAAGAACCAGAAGAAACCTCCATGGAAAGCCTCCTTTCACTGTCTGCACTGCAACACACCGATCAACATCCCGCTGGAATTTGAGGGCATCAGAACATACGCGGTGGCGCTATAAGTTGTCGAAGGCAATGCAATTCAGGTAGGGCAGAGGAAACCTGAATGCGTTTCAAATCGGGTTGGCCCGAGTGGACAAAACCGAACAGATAACGGGAGCATGGATAGAAATCAAAACGGTAGATTCAAACGCCATTTTGGTAAAAAGGGTGATAAGGCTATATTTTCATTGGGTTGATTCCAAAATGACAAAAAAACTGGGTTGGGCGAAAAGAAACATTTTACATGGAGAGAAAAGAAGAAATGGAAAATGAAGGCTAATATTACTGGGGGCCCTATAACATGCCTGGATTCGAGTTTTTCTTTTAACCCGACCCGGGGTGAATCATTTGGCACAAAGGAAGTGGAAGTTTTTATACCCGTGGATTCAAATAAAAATAGATAAAAAGGAAAGTAAGAATTAGACTCGACGAAGAGAAAAAGGCTGAGGGAAAACATGAAAAAGTTTCTGATGTTGAGTGTTTGCC